TTAGAGTAATTCAAAAGTAGGGAGTGTTTGTAATCCAGCGAGAAAAAGGGGGAGCATAATCATTTGACCAGTAAACACTAAAGATCAATCTCATCGTCAGAGTGACCCACCTCGAAGTCGTCTTCTCCTACAGGAGGATCCATCTCTTCCCTCAACTTATGCCATGTAGCTACGTCCCGTTCTGCTGATTGGTGTGTCATTTCTCCTTTAATAAAAGATGTCATCAACTCACCCCTGGTCTTCCAGACATAATAGCAAGTGGCGTCAATTACTTCTTGCTTCTTTTTTCGGCCATAAGCCTCCAAGGATTTGACTCTGGCATTGAGCTGCAGAATCTGGGCAGATTGAGTAGAACTTTTGTCTTCCAATTCTCGAACTAACTTTGCACTCTTATCAAGAGAAGATACCAGGGAAGTCTCCTTCTGTTTCAATTCATCAACGGCTCTCTCTAGTGAAGATACACGAGCAGCAGCAACAAGGCTCGCTTGAATACTCTGAAAAAAGACAAGACAGTTTAATCAAGAGTAAAATGGAAGGGAGTTCATTAAGCATGGTGGTCCATCAGCACCTGAAACGCATAAGCAGAGGAGGCAGCAATGACGCCGGTAGGGGGCAAGCAGTCAAAAAAGGAAGTAGCAGAGGCCAACTGAAATTGGGCCATCTCGTCTTTCATAATCAGAGTGTCCTTCAATTCGCAGAATTCCGAGGGAAGTGATAAGTGCATAGCTTGTGGTGGCTTCGTTCGGGTATCAATCCCATGTTCCGCATTAGGGGTATCAGGAGTGGTAACGGTATCAGGTATTGGGTATTTAGGGACCTTTGGAGGATTTGATGATAATTTAGAGGGCATCCTTTTCCTCCTCGATGCCATAGCCAACAAATCATGGTCAGAAGGAACGGAACGAGAAGTACTTGATGAAGTAGCTACACAAATAAAGAAAAACAGAAGTTAAGACTAATAGATCCAACGCTAATAAAGAAGAGCATAAATCTCAGAGAATACCTGTAATAGGAGTAGAGTTCTTGAATGGGGGCATGGGGGTACTTTTAGCAGTAGGAAAAACGACTTGAAGAGGGACGAAAGCACTCATACCCTCGACATCATCTTTGGAAGCTTCAGATCCTTGACCTGAATCTTCTACGGAAACGACATGTGAATTCTGATTCAAATCATGTGCGGTGGGAGTGTGCCTACGAGATCGCCTTAACCCCACACAATCAGACTCAACGGGAAGAGGTGACGTACCTTGGAAGTCTGATACCAGATTCACATAAGTTCGATCCTCGACAGGGAACGAAAGAATCTTGGCGTTTCTCTCCTCAGAATGTAGACCGGGAACCAGTGGAATAGTCTTCCTCTCTGCGCGACACAGAGGAACAATGCTAAATACATCAAGTTTCATACATATATCCGAGAACGCAAAAATATTCTGAAATTACCCATTTCCATTATCTACACTAGAGGTTACGAATCAGATAACAAAAGTTGAAGACGGATATCAACCGAACAAGTCACGAAACACGATTCGAAAGAGAAACTAACCTTTGTGTAAATTCTCCTCCAAGAACGATCCGTCAGAACCTAGAGACTCTTTGTTTACAAAGAAGTACAAATTCATCCATCCCCGGTCATTAGCTTTGTCCACCTTGTGAATTAGGGCTTCTTTCCCTTCTTTCACTGCTAAAGTAAAGCGACCAGCTCCTGAGGATCTGAGGTCATAGGTAAAACCCAAGTCTTCAAAATCCAGGGCCAAACTATGTTTCTCACTCAAGACCTCTAAAGCTCTAAGTACTCTCCATACTTGGGGCATGATTTGGGAAGGCGATACTCTGACGAAAGCAAGAAAGTCTCGGACTAAATGAGAGAATGGGAATTTCATACCTATCTTGAAAGGGTACATCAGAAAGTTTACCCAACCATCACAGAACCAATCTATCCTCTCGTTCGCTGCTGGAAAGCGAATAACCGCATCATGAGGAAAGCCGATGGAAGATCTGATAAAGTCGACATGATGTTCGGAAAGTTTCGCTTGCTTGGAGTTTTTCGGATCTAAAATATGTTGCGGAATGAAGGGTTGTGAAGCCATGAAGAACCAAGGTGTTGGCCAGGATTTGCAGAGAATCGAAAGGAAGAGAGAGAAAGTATTTCTTGCTGAACTAATTCACTTAGGGAGGAAGAGGTTAGTAATTGATTGATACTGAACGGCTGACGGCCTTACACATTCCGAGGCAATGTCATGATGAAAATTCAAATAAACGGTTGGCTTTTAACCTTTTTGAAATTGGCGCCCTCCTCTTCTTTGAATTGGGGGCAATTGTTGGGCCACGGAAGTGTAAATAGGTCGGCCCATCCATAAGAGGTGGAATCCAACTAAATAATCTACCAACGAATCGGATAAGGGTGGACTTAGTAGGAGTGCTCAACTAAATGACGGGACCTAGGGACTCGGCGACATTTCCGGCGGGCAGTTGCACTAAATAGATAGAGTTCTATTGTTGTATAAATAGAGAAAGACCTAGAGTAGAGGAGGAGGATCAACCTGGCTTGATAAAATAAGCATTTGTAACACCATTCTTTCAGAAATACATTGAGATTAATACATTTCCATTCATTCATCTTTCGGTTTTCATACTTTATTTCTTGTACGATCCCTACATACATATATATTTAGAGTAGTTTAATTCTTGTTTAAACGGTGATTACTGTGTAATGAAAACAAAATCGTGTGTTTCATTTATCTAAATAAAGGTTGTCATCTATAGTTGGTACTTGGTAGACCATTTTTCTCTTTGAAGTTGAAATTTCGTATTGGCAGTTGGCACACATGTGATTTCTCTATCTTCGGACGGTGTTGATCACGAAGATGGAACTCAAGTCTAAATATACTACTAGTATCAGAATAAGTTACACTATAAAGAGTAATTTGAAATTGATAAGTCTCAACAACAACAAAATGAACTCCAAGATATATCCTCTTCAATGAGTCACCATCTTTCAAAGAGATTTTTTATGCATGTGTACTCAGACTTCTACTACCAGTGACGGAGTCAGAAATCTATGCTTAAGGGGATCGGATCTTAAAAATTTTACATTGCAGGGGCCAAAGTTTAAAATATCAACATATTTTCTATAGATTAAAAGTATTTATATATAATATATACTTAAGAATTTTTTTCTTGCAGGGGCCGAAGCCACCTCCAGTCCTCCCTGTCTCCACCCCTGTCTACTACAGTTACTTATGTCTCCAACATATACTTATATGTTCTTTTTTTAATCACAACATTCTTGAACTGAGATAAATTTTGACTTTATTATTTCCTCTTTAAGAGTGTCAGAGTGATGCCATCGAACAATAAGTGCTTGACATCTTACAAAGGAGATAAACCATGAACTTATTATTATGGAATAACATACTCCATCTTGTGTCATTGTTAGTGGGAGAGGGCTACTCTTCTTAATAGATTAAAATATATACCAACTGCACGAGTAACTCAACGATGACTGTGTGAAGTTGATGGATTGAAGTCTCAGGTTTTATTCCCGGCAGCGGCAGTGTTAGAGTTTCATCCAATGTAATGGTTCTTTGTGCATAAGATCAAGACCTGAACCATCTCACTCATAAAGTGTTTGAGATCCTACGATGATTTACTCCTCCACCTTCTATCGGGTCGTCGTGTGGGCGATTCCACCTTTGAATTGAGTATATACTAATTTGAGTCCATTATTTGTTCACACTTCACCAGGGGTGGGCATGGGTCGGGATGGTTTGGGATTAGGGTTATCCCGATCCCAACCCAATTAGTAATAATGGTACAGAACGGTACGAGACAAGCCTTTCTCCTAATCTTGTCCCATTTAAATCGGGACCGGGATGATTCGAAATGGTTCGGGACGTTCCGGGACATTCCGGGACATCCCACACTAACGAAAAGATAATCATTTGTAGTTAATAATATGGAGTATATACTAGCATTTTTAAAGTATCATGCACCAAAATATTAACATTTTAAAAGTGAATTGATGTTCATCACAAGCTATCTATTTACCAAAACCTAAAAGCTATTAGATTTAATTAGTTTTAGCAAAAATCAAATTTAAACTTTAAAACAAAGCAAAAAATGAATTAATATATTCAAAATTATGTGTTTTAGTTATGAGATACTCATATGCAAATATAAAGTGAGATAAAAACCTATGTTAGTAAATATTTATGTTAGGTATTTGTTTTAATTTAAAAATTGGACTTGAAGAACTAAAAACATATTCACTTATTTAATGAGTTGACATTATAAACTAGTCATATGCTAAAAACTATATAGTCATTACAAATGAGACAACGTGACAGTTCGGGATAACATTCCAATGTCTCGATCATGTCTCATTTTAAACTGGTACATGACTGGTGCAGGACAAAACGAACGAGTCCCAAGCGAAATGGGACAACACCGGTACAGTTCCGGGATATACCGGAATGGGATAACGGAACCGGGATCGATTCTTACCATTCCACAAAAAAATAGGATGACATCCCATCCCTGAGGGCCCCCCAACATCGACCGAACAGCTAGAAGACAGAATATAAGTTAATCTTTAATCACAAGCTAGTAGATAGAGAAAGAGGTTCTAGCCCTTATACTTGTAGAGACCGTATGCATTTTTAACATAATAACATCTCATCGCATTTATCGATATTCAAACTCGAGACTTACTCATTTTAACACTCCTTATTTACCGATTGAGCTACGTCCACAGTTGTCACCCCATGTTTCACGACATACGAAGTACTTCACAATCACAACATACATACGGACTAAATAGGCGGCAATGCCGCAGCTAAAAAACGCATGCAATATTGAAATACCATCACTACGGTCCATCAAACTTCAGTTCAGTTGTAAACAACAAAATCGAAAACAGTAAAAGGCAATCATTCTATTTCACTCTCTCTACTATAAATACCTACTCTCCCTCTCTGTCGTCACCATTAACTTCACGTGCAGTTTCTTCAGCCTAGCTACTCTGATCTGTCTCTCTTCATCATATTCTTTAACCTATATGTCCCTAAACTAAACTGATCCTTTCCATACATTAATGGAAGAAACTATTCTCAAGAGGCTAGGCTGTCTAACCCACGACAACACTTCTGATATCCTCGCCTCGCCGCATCCTCCGCTTTCCAAGAGAAGCGGTGGTCCAGCCGTTAAGCGCGCTCCCTGCAGAGACAGTGCCTCCTGCGGCGGAGCAGTGAAGTACCGCGGCGTGCGCCGCCGACCGTGGGGCCGATATGCGGCGGAGATCAGAGACCCTCTTTCGAAGGAGAGGCGGTGGCTTGGAACCTATGACACGGCGGAGGAAGCCGCTTGTGCGTATGACGTGGCGGCTAGGGCCATGCGTGGGGTTAAAGCCAGGACCAACTTTCTGTTCCCGCCGTCCCCTCCGCCGTTCTCTGCCGTCCACGGGCTTTACCTTCCCAAATCCCCCCACACCCATGCCAACGACAGCCGGTTTTTTCAGCCCGTGCTTACATCGCTGTCATCGAACAGTAACCTAAACCCCAACAATGTTCCTTCTTGTTCATCTTTCTTTAGCCAAATCTCAGCCGTGAACGGTGGCGGTAATTCCATTTCTACCCCTCTGACCTCCATGTCAACTCCCTGTTTACATACTCCGACCATGACCCAGCAGAGTTCTCCAGTTGGTTCTGAAGGGCCCACGTGTGGACTTGACTTCTTTAAATCTCAGTCGTCTGATTCCGGGCTATTAGGGGACGTGCTCAATGGGTTTTTCCCGAAGCCCACTTCCGTGAAATCTGAGCCGTCCACGTGTGCAACTGGCGCCACATCCAAGGGCTTTGATGGGGACAATAACTCTGGGATTATCGGTAATGATCATTATTATCATCAAGAGGAAGCGTTTGGGTGTTTGGATAATGGTTTCGATCATCCTCCGCCGCCGCAGTTTAATTTCGATGACGAGTTTCCGGTGTTGACCGGCGTGCCGGTGTTCCAGTCGGAAGGCGAGATTGGAGGCTTTGGTAATTTTACTACCAAGCTGTATAACTACTATTGACTGATTTAATCGTACTAATTTACATGTAGTAGCTCGTTGTTTTGTGTGCTAATGAAAGCAATGAATGAAAGGTTTAAGTATTTGGGAATCTTGGAATTGGAAGTAGTTCTTAACCATTTCCTTGTACTTTGTAATGGATATCATTATGTCCTCTCTTGGGATTTAATGAAATGCTTTTTACCGATGGAATAAAATTGAAATTCTCATAATTACTTGTATTTAGTAATTACACGCATTAGCAAGTGTTTATCAAACTAGCCAGTTTCATAATGAAAAAAAAAACTAGCTACTAGCTAGTTTCTTAGGAGTATTTGTCCATTTACTAAATAAGTAATCTATTGAGTTTTAAGTTGTCCAGTTTCTACTGTTATTTCTTATTCTAATCTATAACTATATGAAAAGATTGCGCTAATATATTAGTGACTATAATTATGTTTCAAATTTACATCACATCAAGTATATGTTAGTCACTATGCGCGATGTTATAAGTCAATAATAGTTACTACATCTAATTTTTCACATACCTTTTTTATTAGTAATATTTGAAGAAAAATCTCTATATTAAAAAAAATCAAATATGTAATCTCTCACAAGATAAATTAAAATAAGTCGATTACGAGTACGTTTACATCACAAAACAAAATAATTTACGTAAAGTCAATAGTAATTTAAGAAAATTGCCCTAAACATGCATAAAATGTAAAATTCTAAAATATAAGCATGATGGCTTTATTGAGTATAATCCGTGAATGTGAGTATTTATTGTTAATTTTAGCAAAAGTGTGAATAATGGCAGTAATATTGTATAATGTTAATTTTAGCCCCTTGAGGTTAAATCATGTAGTAATTATTAATGTAATCTTTCATTTTCAAAAATCAATTAGTCACCCTCTATGTTTTGATCATTTTCACTATATACGTCCTCACGTTAATACTCCCTCCGATCCTAAATAAACATCACACTTTGAGTTACGTTCACATAAATTAAGGAAATAAATTTGACTTTATTGTAGAGTACACTGTTGTGATACTGTTTGGCACTATATTGCATTGTTTTGATGTAGATAAATTGCCAAATAAGGAAGGGAGAAGAAGTGTGAAGTTTATTTTGGACCTACCCAAAAAGGAAAGTGTGAAGTTTATTTAGGATCGGGGGAAGTATTTGTTAAATTAAACTTAATATACCTCTTACATTCAATGAAAGTTGTACATAAAATTAATTTTACAAATATAATATAATTTATTATTATAATTATAAGTCATTGACGATCTTTTGTTTTTCTACTTAACATACTACTCGATCGTGGAGTAACTATTAGTGAGAGCAGTTAAGGGGAAGACTCACGAGTAATATTCATGGGATACATAAAAATAATTGTTTCTAAGATGTGATCAAAATTTTAGGCACTTCTTCATTATAAATATAAAAGTCTGATTTGTAATTCATCCGGTTGAATTAATCACAATGGCATTTCTTTCGTGTGTAGCAAAGAAGAAATACCAAGATTTTTTATCATTCCATGACCTAAAAGATAGGTTTAGTATCAATAAGGAACCTAAAAGATAAAATGTATGATGATTTTGATTATTCTAATTATTCCATGATCTGAATGATTCAAAGCTATCAATCTATGACCTAAAATATCATAGATTTTAATTTATTTAAATTTTTTATTAACTCTGTTACTAATTTGTGATGATTTTATCTTCAGAAAAGTTTTTTTGAATGTAAAAAGTTTATTAGTTGTATAAGATTAAATGATATTTAATTTTTTAAAATAAAATTGTTAAAAATTCATGAAATTTTTATATCTTGCTCGTGAGTATTCTCTTAATTACTCTCAATAAAATTTATTCCACGATGGAGTAGCTAAGTAGAAAAATAACGATCAACAACAATGACTTATAACTATGATAATAATTTGTGTTTTACATTTAAAATTAATTTTATAGACAATTTTCAATGAGTTTAAGAATTATATTAAATTTAAATTTAACAAATATTAACGTGAGGGGCAAAGAATGAGAATGATCCAAACTCAGGGGGTAACTAATTGATTTTTGAAAACGCAAGGTTGCATTAAAAATTATGATACTGTATATAATGTCAAAATGTGATTGTAAAATTTAAAGATAATACTCATAGTAAGTTACTCATACTTACATTATTTTTACTCTATTTTAATAAGGAATTTTCCGTAAAAGCTATTTAGTTTTGATTAAAATAGTCAAATGCCTATGGAACTAGCTAATTGGGGAAATCAAATGCCCCAATTTGAAAGAGAGAAGTATGAATTTTCCGAGCCCGTTTGGTAATCATATTTTTCAATTTATTAGCTTATCGGTGAACTTTTTCAGCAAACACGTAAAATTTGATTTCGGACGCTTAATTGTGTAAAAATAAGAACGAGTGAGGTTATACTTACTTTTTTGGCTGTATTGATTAAAGTTACTATAGATGATCATTTTAACTATTTACATATAATTTTTTCTTTATTTACTTAATAAAATACTATCCTCCGTATCTCATTAATTGCAAAATTGGAATATATACACTATTAATGTACTTTACTTTGACTACATTTTATTTATTAATGTATGTGAATTATTTTTTTTTTGAAAAATGTTGTTAAATTCGTCTCATTACTAAGTTTTATAATCTAATTTTTATTTTATTTTTCCTAATACAGAATTAAATATAATGACGGTCAAAGTTGTGCGTTGGCAAACGTGAAATATTGACTGTTGCAACTAAAAAGAGACGGAGGAAGTATATTTTAAATACTTTTTTCATAAATCGGCAGGATAAGCCAATCCAACTATTTCAGCCAGAACTTGATAAATTTCAGCAGAATTAGTCAAAATTCAAAACATCCGATTTGGGTATTATTGAACGGGCTCGTGATATTAATATATTTAACTTTATGTAAAAGCTTATCTCAATACCATCACTATAAATTTTCTTTTTTCACAAATCAAAGTCAATGGTGGTGAGTATGTAATTTAAATATTGTGATCATTCATAAGGATGTGATTAATAAGAGAAGAATTCATTTTTGGAACAAGGATGCCTTTAATTAGATTAAAATTAAACTTGATTTGGTTACTAGAATGCTTATGCGGGTGAGCGGGCCGGAACAGACTTAAGTCACTTAATATATATTACGTCCGTCCCGATGAACTTTGCACCATTTGAGTTAGGTGAGAAATAAGAATAGTAAAAATTGTGTGGTTGAAATTTGTGCAGAAGAGAGAGAAATGAGCAGAATCACAAAATAGTTACTTTAATGGGAAAGTAGTAAAGTTTTTTGGAACAACTAAAAAGGGAAAGTTGGCAAAGTCCAATGGGACGGAGGAAGTATATATATAGATATACAGGGGCGGATGGTAGCCTGGCCAGGGGTGGGCTTCAGCCCAGCCCAATTTTTTAATAGTATTGGTATATTTTCAATTCTCAGCCCACCCTAAATTTAATTGTCAACCCACCCCACAAATAATTCCCAGCCCAGCCCAGAAAAAGTAGTCAACAACCCAGAACGCAGTTTTACCCCTTAGGCCCTTACGCCAACTTGCGGTCGAAGGGACGAACGGAACAGGCAATTGGGATTTGGGCGACACCGCGATGGAACTCGGAAGTGCTCCGCAGTCCGCACTGAAGCAGTGAACCTGCCGCCGGTGCCGCCGTGCCGGAGACGTGAACAACAACGACGCGCCGAGTCGCCGAAGCCTCTGCCTCCCTCTCTCGAGTCACGACCAGTTGATCAGCAACGAGCAGTCCAGACTAGGTAAATCCTCTTGGTGACTTGGTGTTGAATTTTGATTTGTGAATGAGTGAAGTTATGAACTTCTGCTGTGAATCTGTGAACGTTGAATGAGTGAATCTGTGAATTGTGCATTTTAGAGTGAACATTACCAGTAATTTTAGAGTGAATCTGTGAATTGTGCATTTTAGAGTTTTAGGGCTACTGGGTTAGGGAATCATACAAGATTTAGTTAAATAGTTCCTTATTAGTTATATTTTTTATATAAGTTTTTTAATTTATACCAATATTGAAAATGTTTTTTTAGAATGGATAATGAACATGTTGCCAAGAAGGGAAAGAAGTTGATTTCATCATTCTTTTCGAAAGTGAATCGTCAAACCGGTGAAGGAAGTTCTGAACCTATACCTACGATAGTGCAAGATCTAGTCAATGAGGTTCTTTCACATTTCCTAGTCCTTGAAATCCAATCTATCTCCAATTTTGAGTTGCTTTCATCTTTTTCCATTGAGAGGGATCCGAGAAAAAGAAAACAAATTCATGAATACCATGTTAATGTGTGAGATGAAGTTAGACGTGCATATCTAAATGTTGGGCCTTATCAACCGAGAATGGAAGCTTATCCAGTGAAAAAGTTTGGAGCTCAAAACCGAAGTTTTCAGAAACACTGGTTTGACAAGTTTAAATGGTTAGAGTACTCATCTGTGACTGAAAAAGCTTACTGTTTTTTTTGCATCCTTTTCTTGAGTGACATTCATATGCATACTACTTCTACATTAGTTAACAAAGGATTTCAAAGTTGGAAGAGGGTAAATCAAGAAAGTCAATGTGCATTTCTTCAACACATTGGTATTTTAGAAAAATCACCTCATGATGTGTGTTCAAAGAGCTGAAAATTTGAGGCAACCATCTGGCCATATTAAGAATGTTTTTCATGCCCAGTCGCAATAAGAAAAGGAGAAAAATCGATTGTGATTGAGAACTTCTTTTATAACTGTCCGATGGTTGGCACTTCAAGGTTGTGCCTTTAGAGGTCATGATGAATCTGTATCATCATTAAATCGGGGAATTTTTATTGAACTAGTGAAAGCTTTTGCGACTATGAATACCAAATTTCACGAAGTTGTACTTGAGAATGCTCCTAAAAATGCTCAGTACATTGCTCCTGACATTCAAAAAGAGATCTTGAATATAATGGCGAATAGAGTTCGTCAAATGGTTCGTGAAGAAATTGCAAATAGTTGTTTATGCATATTTATTGATGAAGCACAAGATATATCTAAACAGGAGCAGATGGCGATTATTATATGGTTT